TTTTGCAGTCGGGTTTTTGGTTTTTTTAATTATGTAGACATATTGGGTTCTAATACCCTGATTACTTTGTGTGACCTTGCTGTTGCGTGGCATAGCTCTATTACTATCGGGCTCAATAAATTAGGCCGAATTAGGCCATGACGATCAAACCAGGCAGGAATATTTATCGTAATAGTTTAAAAGATTTTAGTTTCGTGCGATTCATTTTGGCCGTTTCAACTGCTTGGGCTCTCAGCAAATGATACCAGTGCTTTCTATAAAAACTCTAAAAGGTATAACGTTAATAAATATTACTGCACCTTATATTTAGAATAATAGACAAAAAATTACACTAAACACTTATAATATAGAAAATATTTACATAAACTTATTGCTTTTTATGGAAGAATAAAACAATGCTGTTATGGCAACACTTGTTTGATAAAATAATACTTTTTTTGTTCTTGATTAGCTATTTAAATAGCTATTTATTTTAATGATAAATTATTATTAAAATAAATAGCTATTTACCTATTAAGTATGGAAAATGAGGTACTTGTCTTATAAGAATTAATTATTTGACCGCTGAATGAACGAATGAATGAATGAATGATAACGATCAAACATTAAAAATGCCGTCATATCCGTTTTTGAATACAGCTTAGCTTATAAATGAATGAATGAAAACCAGGACATAAAGAAATAATTTATCTTCACATTATAACTGATAACAAATGAAGAACGAATGATTGAATGTAAGAATTAGATGGATGGACGGACAAATATAAAACAAAACAAATAATATTTAGGCAGACTATTATCTCAAGTACCTCTTAATACATAGAAACTACAATACAAGATCATAGGAATCTAAGTTTGGTCGATTTTATTATAAAAACTATTTGTAAGTACATTGAAGTGGATACTAGTATAAAAATTGTCTTTGAAACTGTTATAAGCATACACACTGATACTAGTAATCTAGTAATTTCTAAGTAAATTCGTTCATTCGCTCATTCTGTCCGTTCATTTCATTCGTCCTCTTTAAATAGACAATCTTTATCTAGTAGTAGTAACTACTCAACGAAGGAATGAATGATATTGTCAGTTTATGTTAGTTTATATTAAGTACAGGTGAATGAATGATTGTTTTTGTAAAACTAACGGATTGAATTCGTGAACGATGTTTCAGCTGTGCTAAATGCAAACTAGTCGAAATCTCAATAAAATTGTTGTAAATTTTGTCTAGTTATAGAGTACAGGTGATAGGGATTTTTTTCTAATACAGAGGGCAAACGAGCAGACGGTGACCTCATGGTAAGTGACTACCACCGCCCATAGACACCTACCACTCAAGAGCCACATATTCAATACCAGATTACGTTACCGCCAGAATTAGAAAGAAAAAAGGCGAGGTTAACACCAAATTTTTGTGGAGCTGTGGTAAATCTGGTTGAACGAAGTACCCAAGCATCCCTCACGGTTATAAAGTAGTAATGTATCAGGCCACATTATCAGTTAACAGTCGTCTCCATGCTAAGTTTCATTGAGCTAGTATCGACTCCAATATATAATGAAATATCTGAAGTTATTACACATACTCTACTTGGCACATTTACTAAATATTCACATCACATAAGGGTATATATAAAATCGTTAATACAATTGGCAAGTAAACAGTTTATAGAGTTAAATATTGCTTATAAAATTGTATCTAAAGCACTAACAGTGTTTCTAAGCACACATATTTTAAGTTACCTGAATCATGTTTCGATTACTCTGAAAGTAAGGTACTTTTAAAAACTTTTTCTAAAGATTTTTCTTGATGTCTTCCACTAGCAGATGTCTTTTTGCTATTTAATTTATTTGGTAATTATTAAGATTTTTCGTTTTTCGTAGGTTTTAGACATTAATATTTAACAATATCTTTGAAGGCCGAAATTTTAAACTCAAATAATTACAAATAATAATCTCAATTTAATACAAGACTTATAATTATCAATTCAATACGTAATACAATAAATAAAAAAAAAAAGTAAAAAACATTCATGTTATATTCATAGATTATTAGACCATTTTTAAAAACTCGGTATTTTTGATCATTTTAATTCACATGCCAAAGATGACACTGAACGAATGATAAATTGAATGAAAGAACGAACGATCATAATAAAGCGTTCAATCGAATGATGCAAACGATGTTTTAAAACAATGAATAAATTTGATATACGTAAATTTAATAATTGAATATATTTAAATATGAATGCATAAATGTTTAATAAACTTTCTTTACATACCTATATGTACTATTTACGTTGATCTACGTAACTAGGTTTTAGAACGCGTCATTAAGTCAAAAGTAGACGAAAGACAACCTTTTCTAGATGAAGAAATATATTTAGTACTAGCTGAGACCCGCGGTGTTACCCGCGTTTGTTTTTATAACCGCGGGCAACGCCGCGGGGCGAAGCTAGTCTAAAAAAAATAGCCTAAGTTACTCCTTATGTCATCAGCTATCTGCCAGTGAAAGTCCCGTCGAAATCAGTCCAGCCGTTCCAGAGATTACCCGGAACAAACAGACAGACAGACAGACAAAAATTGCAAAAAAAAAAAAATTTGGCATATGTACCGTGTAAACATACATATGCATTTAGTAAAAAGCGGTTATTTTAATAATTTTTATTTATTTAAAACAGACACTCCAATTTTATTTATTTGTATAGATTCTCGTAAAGACTTAATGCGCCGTAGACGCATAGTCCCATCTACTCTTTTGTGGTCGTTTTGTGTGTGTAATGTGGAAGTTCAAAAACACTTCAAGAAAAGTTGAAACAACTTCAAAAACATAATAAAGGATCTTAAAAAGGAAAATAATTGATTACAGAGTTAAATGAAAAGGCTAACATAAGTGTGACACCCAATAGGACAGATAACATTATAAAGGTCATAGGTACTTTATAGATAGGCTATAGGAAACACAATAATACATACTTGGGGTTACATGTCACCTTTATATCAGGTTATATAAAAAAAAATCGGTTGTCTATAAAGTCGGTTTACTGACGATAGTTGAACGTGACAACGTCATAAGAAAATACTGATGGAATGGTTGCATTTTTCAAAAATGTATTATTGTATACGAGTAGCAGCTGTCCACGCGGACGCATCGCTCACTCAAGTAGGAGAGAGACAGATGTCGAACGCTGCCGAACGCGGAGGCCGATTGTGCCTCTTTGTCACTCGTTCCGCGCTCTCGCTTGCACTTCACGCCTTAAATGGAACGCCTCAGAGCGAGGTAACGCCGCATGAGTCATGTTTTTTCGTGCGTGCAGCCGGCTCCATCGAATTATAAGACGTTGTCACGTCAAAATACATACAGCCGAACATGAAACCTTCTGCTTTTTTAAGTAGTTTAAAAAGGTATCAAAACACATTTATATGTCTTTGTTTTTTGAAGTAATCCCGTAAGGTATCACTGAGATTTGATTGTGTTATGGTGGATAGAGTGAGGGCTGTCTTTAGCCTATTGGAAGCACATTAGGATAATGGGGCCCCTATGACCTTGACTGATTACTATTCTGTAAGAGTAGACAAAAAAGTATTATAGTCAGTCATTGTCCCTGGCTTTTTTTCGAAATAAATATCGATTATTGAGTTATGATCTGGTCTCTATCGATAGAGACTGGGCAAATACCCAGGGTGCGCAGTGGGAAAAGGGGCCTGGATATAGTGAAAGGTTATAGGCTTTTTAACATCACACTACTTGCTTTAAAAGTTGAGCAGTAACCATAAACGTAGATGAAACTGCGGTATACGGCTGATGACGTATAAACATACGCTTATCTCTCGATGTAAGGTCAATTTTCGATCAGTTATTTATAAGACAAAGTCTCCGATATCAATGTGTCTCTCGTCTACCCAGATCCTAAAACCACAACCCACACACGACAATACTGTTAAAAATGTGGAGAAATCCTAGATATTATTATTAATTACATAGTTACATTACATATTTAACTATAATTTACTATAAATTTCATAGATTTTTAGCACAGCATTATAGAACACATCACATACGGACAGATAAGTTTATTTTACCTGTTTTCTTTTAGTGAAACAGTTTACGGCAAGTTCATTATTTGTGACAAGAGCGTGTAACTTTTTTAAAATATTAAACTATAGTGATAATATATTATTAAGTGTCCGGTTAGAGAAGCCCAAAATCGATCTAAGTGGCATGCAATGGGAGAGGCCTATGTCCAGCATGATGAAGTGTCCGGTATGGTTTTATGGTCATTTTGGCAATTTTTGGCAAAATTTTGGGAACTTAACACGTCGCTACCTACCTCTTTGGACATACGAATGTGTGTTTGTACATATATATGTATTTAATTATTATAGAACAAATAATTTATTGTTTAATTTCCTCTTTTATCTTTGTCAAATAACAATGTAAATAAGTTTGAAGTAAGAAAATTAATCTATAATTTTTATTTATAAATTACAGTTAAAATTATCGAAAATCCACAATGACGAATGAACATTTAAGTTTTTTTTTAAATATTATTTTTAGTCAAAATGGCTGTCGTTTGTATTTGTTGCCTGAGTATGCTTAATTCGTTTAGAAAATAATCAAATCTATAATTGTCTATGTTTGAACCATTAAAGTTTTAAAAACTTAGCCTGTGCTGTCATTGTGTATACTCCACATGTAATATCTTGTTTTAGCATTAAGATAATATTTTGTAGTTCGCCAAAGAAAAGTGTTTCCTAATACTAATTGTTTAATTTTTTAGATGAAAAATACCTTCGCTCCTTTGAATTACTCGTAGTACACACATTAAAAACCACTATTAATAATATAATTAGTTTAATAATTAAATATTCACGCCTTGAGGAAAACAGGACCTACAGCAATTATAAACAATAATTGCTTCTGGTAAATAAATTTCAAAGTCATTAATTACCCAAAATTTTACTTTTAAATGGGGTAATAGGCCATGTACCTTAGCCTATTATATTTAATCAGTTACCTGCTTCTCCGAACCACTTTGCCACCCTGAATCCATCGTATTAGTGTCACTATAGCAATGTATATGATTTATATTACCTTTCAATATCTCTTCTTTAGATTCCCTCACGGGTTCGTATTGAGAATCAGGCCCTAAACATTTAGAAGATTCTGGATCATTCGAGTACACCTGATCCGGTGTTCCATCGTCAGACAACAATGATTCCTCAGTATTTGGAGATAGAGGTGATATTTGAGTGAATGTTTTCGAGTCAGATTGTCTTTCTTTCGGTTTTGGACTCGATCTGAGGCGTAGAGGTGAAATATGCGAGCGTTGGTTATCCATTCGTACACTTGAATTTAGTTCACTCATCCGTTCAATACGAGGGTCGTGGCGATCACTGCGGTCACTTAGCTTAGAGTCGTTCATTCTTTCCAATCTTGAATCGTTTAGTCGCTCAATACGGCTTTCGCTCATGCGTTCACTAAGACGAGTTTCGTTCATTCGGTCACTGATTCGTGAATCATTGAGCCTTTCCATACGCGGGTCTGTCATAGCTTCACAGTTTCTTGAGTCATTTATTCTGTCACGAGAATCATTAATTCGCTCACTTAGTCGAGTTTCATTCATCCTATCCCGTTCGCTTAAACGGGTTTCGTTTATTCTTTCCCTTTCACTCAAACGAGTTTCATTCATTCTTTCACGTTCACTCAAACGAGTTTCATTCATTCTTTCACGTTCACTCAAACGAGTTTCATTCATTCGTTCACGTTCACTCAAACGAGATTCGTTCATCCTATCACTAATACGTGAGTCGTTTATCCGTTCACTCAAGCGAGTCTCATTCATACGATCACTGATCCTCGAATCGTTAATTCGTTCCATGCGTTCACCTCTGTCATGCAATCGGTCACGAGACTCATTCATTCTCTCACTCAATCTGGTTTCATTCATGCGGTCACAGATCCTAACATCATGCATCCGTTCTCTATCATTCAATCTATCTCTCGAATCATTCATTCGTTCACCTACTCGTTCCCTTTCAATGCGTTCCGTCATTCTCATGGAATTATTTAATTGTTCTATTTGGTGTTCGGTTAATCTAACAGAACTGTTTAGAACTTGACGCATTTTTTCTTGATTCTTAACATGTTTTTCTTGCCGGGGTCTTCTCTTTGATCCCACTTGAGGCTGGGGTCTTTGCTGACGGGTCAGGGTGAATGACCCCGTGTCGGATTCGGAGGTTGATTCTGGGTGATTCTCTATGGTGCCCACTAAAGCTGAGACGTTGGCGTTCATGCAGCAGTCGGCCTAAAATGTAGAAAAAGTACATTTTTATGATTTTAACAAAATAAGGTATGAGAAGGAGGAACGTTTTTAAAGACAGCTTAAACTTAAAAAGGCTGAAATGGAATTGAACAGATTTCAAATTATTTTTTCCTCTAAGAATGCTTACCTTGACAGATACATTGCAACAGCTGGATACATCAGCGAAGTACACTTCAGATTCAGCATTCTGGTTCGCAGCGAGCTGGCGGCAGTCCTGGATTGAAGCCCTAAACAAAGAGAGGGACATTTTAAACAAATATGGCGTACGGAAGTATATCATATTTGGAATCTATACTAATATTATAAATGCGAAAGTGTGTCTGTCTGTCTGTTAACACTTCACGCTTAAATCGCTGAACCGATTTAGATGAAATTTGGCATGTAGATAGTTTAATTCTTGAGGAAAGACATAGGCGATAACCTACACACACGACGGCGGAGGCGTAGGCAAAAGATAGTTCTGTACGTTCATATGTAGAAAAAATGCAAAAAGGTCAAATTTTCAAACAATACTGTACTAATAGGGGTGGGGACACTCTGTTGAGATTATGTTTCGGCACAAATGGGTCGGCTCGACCGGTGTGATACCACATCCTCACAGAAAACTGTTATAAAGCAATTACTTCGTTGTTTTCCATTGAGCGAGTGACGTTACGGAAGGTCAATCCCCACCCCTTGTTTGTGGAGCGGGGGACTGAAAGGGCGGTGACGCACTCTGTGACTTGAAGGTGTCCATGGTCGGAATTAGACATGTGAGTGCTGTTGTCCTTCGTGTTCTGCTTGAGTCATCCCTTACGACACCCACGGGATGAATAGGGGTGGTGACATTCCGTATTCTTAATCCGTCCATCCCTTAATATTTATAACAAAACTTTAGTACTACATACTACCTAGTCTTTAACCCATAATAATTGTTATTATATAGGTCGACCTGTCACGGTACAGTGTATATAATGACAGATCAAGTTACACTGGTCACTAAATAAAACCGTCAGATAATCTCTAGGCAACATAAAAATTAAACTTACCTCATAGGCGAGTGTTTGTCATTCTGGAAACCCAAATTTTCTTTCCCCTGTTTCTGGCAAGAATCTGTGCTTTGATCTGAAACTAAAGCATTTAGTGTTTTATGGTATAGGTGGGGGTAGACAGGGTCACCTGATGGCAAGCGAATACCACCACATAAGGACACACACATCTTTTTTCTTTTTTTTTAAAGACATCTCCCGCATTAGGAATATATTTACTATACAAACTTACATGAAACGGACACAAAGAACACCCAGACGCAGAACAACAATTTGTGGATCACATAAAGTGTCGTCCCATGTGGGGTTTGAACCCACAACACTCGGTGTAGTAGGAAGCGGCGTGGCGACCGCTTAAACCACTACGCAATCTGTGCAGTCTTTTGTTTTCGTGATTGTGTTCGTGACTTCGATTCCCACCCAGGATAAATAATTGTGTGATGAGCACGGTAATTTGTTCTGTGTCTGGGTGTAATTTATCTATAATATGTATGTATTAGAAATATATAAGTATGTTTATCAGCAGTCTGGTTACCATAGCACAGGCTCTGCCTAGTTTGGGATCAGACAGCCGTGTGTGAAATTGTTATTATTAATAAGTAAATAAGGAGTAATATTAAACATAAACAGTGGGAATACATATAAAATTATACTAAATAAATAAATACCTAATAAATAAATATTTCGGGCATTTCACACACAACGCCATCTAGTTTCAAACTAAGCAGAGCTTGTACTAAAGTTAATATGGCTAATAGAACTCTTTTATACTTTTTTTTTGTAAATACATAAATACTATACACAGAAAACACCGAAACAAATATTTGCAAACCATACAAACATTTTGTCCGACACGGGAATCGAACCCAAGACCTCAGCACAGCAGTCGCATACGATACCAATGCGCCACCGAGGCAGTCAAAATTAAATAAATAAATACGACACTTTGTAACAAGCCGGTCCCCCCAATATCGCTCATTCATTAATTCGTTCACCTCTGATATATTTAAAACGCGCTTACCTTTACTCCCAGTCTTTTGATGTAAACACTCAATGGCGATATTATCATCTGGTAGTCTGCAATCTCTGTGCAAATTACTGGCACTCATCCCTAATCTTTGGCACCTGTACGGAACTAAATGACCCCTCAAAGTATTAAATCGAGCTTCCGGTAAGTGTGAAGACATTGCCTGTATCACTTCAGGCGGATAGTGCCCAACTGGCGCCATCTGTGCCATGTGAGCCATTTCCGTACTCATTAGCGCTAATTCCGGATTCAACCGAGCTAATTCCGGGTTCAACCGAGCTAATTCCGGGTTCAACCGAGCTAATTCCGGGTTAAACCGAGCCAGTTCTGGGTTCAACCGTGCGAGTTCGGCTAGTTCCGGATTGATTCGGGTTAGTTCGGGACGGTTAAGGTCTGCATGCCTTAAATGAGTGTCTGGTTGGTGCATTAGGTAGGAGTTTCGACAGGTGTGGGGTTGAGCGTGGTCTGGACGGTCCATGTGGTGGTGATGGAGTAAAGTTGCCGCTGCTGGGTCTTGGTGGTGGAGATGGTGTCTGGAATTAGAGATTTTATATTTAATTTCATAGAATTAGAAGTCTTAATTACAAAAAAAATAAAGTTTATTGACGGGCATATGGCTTTGTGCTGAAACCTCAAAAACTATTAAAGTGGCAAAAAAGGTATCACGTAAGATTCTCGTAAAATTCTAAGGTTATCATTGTATGGATGGTATTTTACGTATTATTAGTAAACAAAAGCAAAACAGTATAGTAAGATACTACGTAAATAAAACGTAAATAAAAAAAAGATTTCTTTGGAATTTATTCGTTTGCCTATATAAAATTCGCTGGGTAGGTGGGTAGTCTAGCCTAGAAGAGGGGGGGGGGGGAAAGAGAAGAACTTACGATATGTGTTTAAATAAAAAATAATTGTATTTATATATAAATACTAAAACACGAATATTAGCAAAAGGTGACACAAAAGAGATAATTAATATCCTCCAGGGTACGAATATTGGAATGGTAAGTATACCAACCTGCTTCCACTTCTTCCTTGAGGGCTGTAAGGGGGTGGAGGACCCCACACTCCAGTGGCTGCATCAAAACTTCCACTCGCTTCACCAAACTGTTCTTGGGTGAAGTTAGCTGGTTGGAAGTTCGGCTGAGCCTGAGTTTGTGAAAAAAAAAAAAGAATATATTATACCACATTCACACAACGCCATCTATCCCAAACTAACCAGAGCTTGTACTATGTGTACTAGACAACTGATATAAATACATATATACTTTTTTTTGTAAATACATACATATTATACATAGAAAAACCCAGACCAAATCAAACATTAAATGTTCATCCACACAAATGTTTGACTTGCGCGGGAATCGAACCCGCGACCTTTGGATTAGCAGTCCGTTACACAAACCACTACGCCATCCGGTCGTCCTCGAATAACAACCTAAAATACCTAATATATTAATACAGGTAGATATCCACTTTAATTAATCGATTAACCGCCTTTTATTGTCCACTGTTGGTCACAGGCCTCTCCTTAGAAAGGAAGTTGTAGTCTACTATACCACGCTGACCAGACGGGTTGGTAAAGGGTTGTTTCACGCTTTCCTTCTCTCTGCAGTGCCGTTGTCCTGCGTAGTTTACTCCCTTAGTCGGCTCTTACGACACCCACGGGATGAACAGGGGTAGTGACACTCTGTATTCTTAATCCGTCACCACATGGATATCTAAATATATGTAATTCTTCTGTACGTGTGTTTCTAACCTATCTCCTCCTAAACGGCTGGACCGATTTGAATAAAATTTTGTGTGTATATTTCAATAGGTTCCTGGATGGTTTAATAACATAATTAGAGCCAGGTCACCAAATTTGTTACCTTATTCATTAATTCTAAGGCGGTACGAAGTTCGCCAGTTCAGGTAGTATTTATATATAAAACTAGCTGACCCGCGCATCTTCGTCTGCGTCTCTCAATAGTAATAAATTTTCTCCGTTTTTTGAAACATTCTTCATTGGTGCTCCGCTCCTATTGGTCTTAGCGTGATGATATATAGCCTATAGCCTTCCTCGATAAATGGGCTATCTAACACTAAAAGAATTTTTCAAATCGGACCAGTAGTTCCTGAGATTAGCGCGTTCAAACAAACAAACAAACTCTTCAGCTTTATAATATTAGTATAGATATTAACATTGTTATCCTAAGTAAATAAATATAACATGAAGAATGATTAACTACCTGTGCAAAATTCTGTGGATGCTGAGCAAATTCTCGATGCTGGTTAAAGGTCTGTGGGTTGTGGACTTGTGCCCGCTGGAATGGCTGCTCGAAGTTGTGGGGGTACCGGCCGTCATAGCCGGTCGCGTTTTGGGGGGGACCTTCCGTTTCGCAGAAGCCGTATGCGCTGTCTCCTGACTGAGGGACTCCTCCCATACGGCAACGAGAACTGGAAGAAAGAAACAGTATGTTTATTTTATTCTTTTTTTAATGTAGGTGATACAAATAATAATAAAATGTCTATAATAATAATCACAGGCGTTGACACCCTCTTAAAAACCATAAAAACAATAATTTCATTTTACTGAATTATAATTAAAAATAGACTGTGGCGACTTCCATATTCAACGAAGCAGAAACATACTTCAGCGCCATCTAACGTACACACACCGAACTACGGAGTACTAATCCTGCATCGCGATATAAAAGTTCTTCAACATCAACCCTTGGGTCGCGGCGCGCCTGGAATGATCACCTCGCCAGGCCGGAGTTGCATTCCTTTGTGTTGAAGATAAAATGGTCAAATATTTAAGAAAAATGTAGTTAAACTCGGTAAGGAATACATATTAAACTACTGACAAAAGAAAATTAGACAAAAAAAAAAGAATAAAACAAGTCGGTACTTACTTCTGACTGTTACTCCTGGGCCAAGGGAACCAGCTCCAGGCAGAAGTCTTCCGCCCAGTGCCAGGGTTCGGAGAATATAGATTGCCGATACGTCCTGAGAAAAAATTAAGATAATATTTTTAACTAATTTGAAAAAAAAAACTTCTGTATAAACATAATTAATCCTTACTTACTAAATGTGAAAGGTTGTTTGTTTTAAATTTAAATTTTAAAAATTCCTTCACCAATGGAAAGCTTAATTACAGACTACTTAGCCATAAGCGACGTACAAGCGGGCGGAGCCGCGACCAAAAGTATACCATGAAAAAAAAAAACTAAAGAATTCAATCAAATCATAGGTACCTGGTGCCCAGAATCGATGCTGCAAACTGATGTCCCAAGCGGGCTGTGTTGGGTGACATTGAGCACAGCAACTGCAGTTGCTCTGCAAATTAAACCAGCTCTTAGAAACTAGAAAGAACATGACTAGACGGGCCTGTTGGCCTTGTGGTTGGTGACCCTGGCTACTAAGCCAGATGTTGTAGGTTCGATTCCCACCCGGGACAAATATTGTGTGATGAGCACGGTCATTTGTTCTGTGTCTGGGTGCAATTTATCTATAATACGTATTTAGAAATATGTAAGTTTTTTTTTAGTTTTTTTTATTTTATTTTTATTTAGGTCCTTCACAGCTGACAGTAAGTACATGTAGAAAATTTACATAGTATTACGCCAATTACGAAGTACACAATATGACAGGTTGAATAAGTAAACAAAAGTGTATTCATTAGTGCCTTCATGCATATGCATTATGTTAATAAAGTGTGTGTTATGATTGTAGTATGTGTCCCGATGGCTGTATGTGATCGTGTGTGTGTAGGGTGCGTATAAGCTTGTTTGTGAGAGTGTGTGTGTAGGGTGCGTGTCTGCTTGTTTGCGAGAATGTGTGTGTGTATTTATGTGTGAGGGTAGAGTGTGTAGAGATGTGTAGAGTTATTATTATTCTCTTTATTTCATTAAATATACATATAAATTACATTTTAAATACATTTATGTATAAAAAAGCAAAATACAATAAAAAATATAGAAAATAGTGAAATGAAATGATATTTATTTCTGCAAGTAAATCTTTTCAGATATTTTTACAAGTCGGACTTTACAGCTAGTAGGCGCCGGCATTTCCTAAGACTCGCTCTGGGAAGAAACGCCAGAACAAACCACAGAGGTGACTTTTTTTTTAGTCCGTGTACAATGTTAAAGAGAACTATGTGAGTGCAGTATAGGGTCTGGGTTGGCCTTTTGAAGAAAGGACCACAGTATTGAGTCGGCCCGACCATACAGACGGCATACGAGCCCCAGCTATTGTATAGCTTTACCGATATCGTCAGGATCAACAACCCGGAACACGACACTTGAGTGGGCCATGGAAACACTCAAAACCACAAACCAGTATCCCATCGGTATCGGGTACAGAGACCAAGATACCAGAAGTTAGGTCTCCAGAAACATAAACCTCCTCAGAATACGTGCCGTAATATTATTATCAATCGCAATGTACTCAATATTGATAACACTTTTAGCCGGGGAACCAGGTATACCCTAGAAAGGAAGTCCCTAGTACCCCGACATACCTCGGGTCATCTACAGACGAGTAGACGACCCCCCCCCCCCCCCCCCCCTGTGTAATATTGATAACTCTAATATTATAAAACAGAAGAATTTGTTTCTTTGTTTAGTTGAACGCATAAATCTCAGGAACTACTGTTTTTTTTAAGGTATAAGGGGGCAAACGGGCAGACGGGTCACCTGATGGTAAGCAACTACCGCCGCCCATGGACACCTGCAACTCAAAAGTCACAAGTGCGTTGCTGCCCTTGGAGTCCCTCCCGCACAGTTGGAATTGGAAAATTATTTTAGTGTTGGACAGCATTTTAATTGAGGAAGTCCATTAGCTATATATAATCACGCAACGACCGATATGAGCCCAGAATCAAAGAAAAATAGAAATGGGGTAAATTTAAATTTATTCTATCCGTGTGGTGACGGATTAAGAATACGGAATGTCACCACCCCTATTCATCCTGTGGGTGTCGTAAGAGCCGACTAAGGGAGCAAATTACGCGGGACAACAGCACTGCAAAGAGAAGGAAAACTTGAAACAAACCCTGTACCAACCCGTCTGGCCAGCGTTGTACAGTAGGCCAAAACCTCCTTTCTAAGGAGAGGCCTATGTCCAGCAGTGGACTGTTATAGGCTGTTGATGAAATTTATTCCTTTTGAGATAAGCAAGAAAAACTATGGAGAAAAAAAGTAAAATTGATGTTTGTATAAATTTGTCCTAGATGCCTTCTTAAGAAATCGATCAATTTGTGATAAAATATTTTCGTAAATGTGTTTACTCCGTATCCGTTACTTGCATCAGGTGTTCCAAGACATATACAAGATAGTTTAAAATAGGGGAAACGGGGTTGAACGGGATCTCACCTGCACTTGTCTACCAGCAGCTGGTGTAGGCTGGCCCGTTGAAGGTCGGTACAAGGATCTGCATCTCAGCTCCAACTGTTCCCAGTACATTTTCTTCCGTTCATGGCTGTAACAAACATTTTTTAATATTACCAGATGACCCAGCAAACGTATTTCTGTCATTTAAATTATCAAAGAAATCAAATCGCGAAAAGATGGGTGTGGGGGTTCCACCCTCCTGGGTGAAAGATACTTTACGACCGACGACGAAAGATATTTTCATACTTAATACATACCAAAATAAAATCATTAAAATCGGTCGACCCGTTTCGGAGGAATACGAACACAAACACCGTGACACGAGATATTTGTATATTAGACTAGCTTTTGCATACAGCTCCGCCCACGTGTATGTCGGTTATAGCGGTAAAAAGGTCAGTGTCCTTTCTCAAGAATCAAACTTTTTCCGAATTGGTTCAGCGGTTATTGTTGCCATACCAACTTAGCCCCTCCCCTCCCCCTCTCAGCCCCTTAAAGGATGATTTCGGGGATACAAACTATCCTATGTCCTTTCCCAAATTTAATTTAAATCGGTTTCAGTGGTTTAGGCGTGAAGAGTTAACAGACAGATAGACATTTTCGCATTTATAATATTAGTACGGATTATTTAGTGTAGGTGGTATTTTTGGTTTGGGTGTTTTCATAATCGATACCCTTACTCGCCTTCTGCATTTGTCCCTTCTGAAAACGGAGGGGTAGGGGGATGACGGACATAAAAAACCAGCCAAAACTCTTTGTAATTTTTGACCCCAACTTTGATCCCAAAATAAAATTGGGAATAGGGTGAAAAGATGAAGTTGATATAGTTTTTTTTACTACAGGCGTTTAAAACACCAGGGTAATAGTGTCAGATATGGTGGTCACCACCAGAACTGACTATATTACACCCCATTTACTTAAGAACGAATAAAATTATACTTGACTAAATACGTGTATTTCACACGCTACTGTCTAACTCTTCAGCGTGAATGTATTTGATAATAAATTAAATTAGGCACATATATTTTCTGATAACATTTTAAAGAATAGTCATATTTAAGTCAAAACCGCAGACAACGGCCTCCAGACGCTAAATAAAATGAAGTCAATATATCACACGCGATTTCACGACGACGCTAACGATTTCATGTTAACATACAATAACAATTTATAGGCTTTATAGAAAGCTACGAATGACACCTAAAACTAGCACAGCGGTTGCCTAGCAACCACACACGACATCACCTAACCCCATACGACTTAGAACCTGACAGGCCACTGACAGAAACATAGTGTTTTGTGTAAATCAATTATACCTTTATTTTTACTTATTCTTTATAAGAGAAAATCTACAAAACATGGCGCAATTACATGCGACTCAGAGAAGTAGTGTCAGTCAATATTCGCAACCTTCGCGATCAATAAGCCATGGGATTAACGAAGCCTATGAATTAACAGACGAGGAGCTTATACAGCTAGTAAATGATAGTAAATTTCAAGTCAAAGTTCTTTCTATAGAGAATGAGATCCTGGAGAAGGCAATATTAAGACTTGATGCTTCACTGATGGCGGGTGTTTCACAAGCAATAGAGTTGGCAGCAAAATTGCATAGCAGTACATCCCTTAACGTAGGAAGTTTCACAAGATCGCAAATATCAAGATTTGCTCTAGCTGAATCTGGGACGAGCCCCTCTCGAATGCTAATGAGTCCCTCGAAAGGATCCACGCGAAGGGTCGACTCTTCAGCCAAACTTGGTGGAACTATTATATTTGGAACGGGACCCAGGATCAACGTTTTAGAGAGATCTGAATTAGTTTCAACAGAAATGGAGATTGTAGTAAAAAATTTAGACCGAGCGAGGCGTAATGCTGCAAAAAAGCAAGCTTTACTCAAAGCCCAATTAGAAGAAGTGGGTGTGAGAGTGAGTGATATAGAAAGAGCTGAAAAGATGTTTAAAGAAGACGTCATAGTCCAAGGCTGGGATAAAATAGCTCAAAGGATCCCAGCCGAAATATGGATCAGATTTATGACTGAGTGGGTTAAAATATGTGATAGTCAAATAGGCAAGCTGAGGTTGAGAACCAGTACGTTAAATACTCAGCACAGCAAATTAAAAGGTCAGATAAGAGTAAAAGCAGAGTTGAGCGAGAGTTTACGACCTGTAGATTTTGAAAAGTTGAAAATAGAGAATTCGGAAAGTGAGAAAATTATAGAGCAGAAACTTCAACAATTGGGAGAATTGAAGAAAATGACAGGAGATGCAAACTTGAATTTAACGATACATAAAAAGTCAATGATGGCGCAGAATGCTTACTTAACCAGCATCTTGAAATCAATAAAACAAAAGGAGCTGCAGACAATACAGTTAGACAAAGAAAGGGACATAATAGCAGTTCAAGCCGATAGTTTGGCTGTAAAACTAGATGAAGTGAGAAAAGTGCGAGGAACTTATGAGGTACCAGATGTAATGGACTACGTTTTGGTCAAAGCTGAAGTCACAGACTTGAAGAATGGGATCAAAATGCTGGAGAACAGGTTGCGTATACAACAGATAGCTCTCGCGTCGATTCACAGGAAGATTCAAAAGCAGACAATGTTAATTAATGAGCCAGAGAAAAAGTGATACGATTTTAAATTTAATCATGTTTATTAGATCTATTGTCTTCTATTGCGTTATAATTGATTATATTTTACTCGTAGTATTTATATATGTTTTATTAATGATTAATTATTCGTCCATTCACTCCAAGTTGAAGCCATTCTTTTAACAACGAGAATCACAAAATTTGCGGTGTTATCCACGATTATATTTTCAAAGTTATGGTACAGACTGTACTACGAATTAACTACTAATCCTACATCGCGCTATAAATGTTCTCTTTTCGATAAGTATACATTCTCAACATCAACGTATGAGCTGCGATCGCCTTGGGAGGGAAGATCACCTTGCCTCGCCTTAGAATCCTCCCGTTGTGTATGGGTATAATTCCTCAACAAACTTATTGTAATTAAATTACTATACGTTGTTTGTACGTGTATGTCTCTTTCTAGGAATCATGGACTAAAAACTTCTCAAATGTACCTTTTTGTGTACCACGGAATACATATCACCAGATCATAGACAACAGTATAACTGTCATACGAATATTACAAAGAATGTCATAACAAAAAGAGCTGCAGGCATGCAACATTATAAGTCATGATTTAAATTTAATCCTTTTAATTAAAAATGTAGAAATAACTAAAAATGGTTATAAGAATTACATTTCCTAAAACATACTTCCAAAGTTTAACACGAAAAAAGAAACTCATAAATAGTAAGAGTATTTAACTCAGTTCTAGATATTGAAACTGCATTGAAACCTTAATCATGAAAGAGCACGTCCATGAGACTACTGGACAAATAGGTTGGTCTACTACGATTGATTATAGTCGCATACCAAAAGTATTTCATAAACGGTACTGGAGTACGACCATGCACAATGCCCGCGCTGGTGTCCGAAACAGAATTGAGAAGAACACACCAAAAATAGACAATGCGAAAAAAAATGTACGAAAGTCTTTCAGGATCATCTGTAAACCAGGGAGGAAATGCGTCATAAATGCTCGCAGAAGCTCCAGGTGGGCAGCTCAATATGCTGGAAATTCATGCAGATACGTAGGAAAAACATGGATGAACACCGGCAGATATTTGAGCAGAACTTCCTCAGATGCAGGCAGGTATGTGGGCAATACAACATACGGTGCAGGCAGATATATGGGTAGATCTTCGATGAGAGCTGGAAGATATTTAGGAAGAGCATCCAGGGCCACTGGAAGATTTTTGAGAAAGAGTTCTTGTACTGCAGGTTCTTACTTAAGTAGAGGATCTAGGAGTTTATACCAAACATTAAGGAGTTTCTCCATTCGCTCAGGAAGATATGTGAGTAATAAAGTCTCAAGTGCGTCTTTTATTGCCATGGCTCGCGCAAGAGAAGCCTCGTATGTTTCGGGCCCTTACTACGCCAGAAAGTTTAAGAGTGATTGTAGGACAAAGATAAACAATTCAAGGGTAGCCAGAACCCTGAATGATATGATAGAAAATTCCAGAATACCCAAAGCGTGTCATGATCGTAATTGCGACTGCGATGTGTGTCCTACACACGAATTATAATGAATTTTGTTTTGTACCCTTTATTTTATTTTTTGTACTATCTTTCACCTACCACCTACTACCGTGTGGTGACGAGTCCGTGTGGTAACGGATTAAGAATACAAATTTTCACTACCCCAATTCATCCCGTGGGTGTCGTAAGAGCCGACTAAGGGAGCAAACTAAGCAGGACAACAGCACTGCAAAGAGAAGGAAAACTGGAAACAAACCCCTACACCAACCCGTCTGGCCAGCGTGGTATAGTAGGCCAAAACCTCCTTTCTAAGGAGACGCCTATGTCCAGCAGTGGACTTGTATAGGCTGTTGATGAGATCACCTACCACATAGTCCTAGCTTCTGCGTCTCCAATGACCAAACATCATCTTTTATAAAGAATGACCGTCTTCTATATACATTATGATGACTTATCCATATTTTTTTTGAAGTGAAAACTTCTTTAGGCGCGTTGGGCACTTTTGAACATCAAACAAAAGTATGTATTTTTAGAGATGGGAAAAAACCATTGAACTAGTGTTTAACTACTGTTACCGTACCGACACCTCTGTATAAATATCTACATATATTGGGCCAATTTACACGAGAGTTGAGTTTGGGTTGAAATACATTGATAATATAACTATATATAATATAAACATATACTATGTATATACGCACAACATAGACATATGTTCATTGTGGAACTTTTCAAATCGAAAAAAATCAAAAATAAGTTTTTACTTCTGTCGGCACTGCCGAAATGCCACTGTTTTTTTTTAACTTATAGGGAGCGGCCATCTCCAACGGAAGAGACACGAGTGTATAGCAACCCTTTGAGTCCTCCCCCTAGAATCAGAGGGGAGCCGGGGTCTTTACAAACATACATGAAACGGACACAAAGTACACCCAGACTTAGAACAACAATTTGTGGATCACACAAAGTGTCGTCCCATAGGATCGAAAAAAAAACACTCAGTGCAGTATGAACCGGCGAGGTGACCGCTTAAATCACTATTCCATCCAAAATGTAATAAACTGTATTCGTATTCGTCATTCCTTAATTTTCCACACCTAGTGGTGAATTTTTTTCTTCCACAATTGGGATCAACGGTTAGTACTATTATATTCCAAAAAAGATTTTATTAAATAGGTTCTTAAATGACGGAATTGATGATGATAGCAATTTAGGCCTATGTCCAGCAGTGGACTATTAAAGGCTGTTGTGAGTAAAACTCTTAAATAAATGGAGACTCTTGATCCTACAATGCCATCAACATCACATCAACAGCCTTTAGTAGTCCACTGCTGGACATAGGCCTCACTTTAGAAAGGAGGTTTTGGCCTAATATACCACGCTGGCCATTTGTGTCAAGTTTTCCTTCTCTTTCAGTGATGTTATCCTGCGTAGTTTGTTCCCTTAGTCGGCTCTTACGATACCCACGGGATGAATAGAGGTGGTGACACTCCGTATTCTTAATCCGTCACCACACGGCTAAAAAAAAACGTGAATTATTATCTTTGTATTTACAAAAACAATGTGTTTGTGTTTATTTATATTCCTTAGCTTGTAAGTCTAGATTTTAATGTTTCTTAATTAATTCCACGAGTCTCTTCAATAGTAATTGTCACAAGAAATTTCAGATGCCACCATGCTGATGGAATCATCACATGGCATGCAGAGGGAAGGTTTATATCCTCCTTCTCTCTGTCTCCCGTGTTTTGAATTATCCTTCGTTTTAGACTTAGCCCGTAGATTTTGGAAGAATACCGACCAGTATCCTGGGAAGAATACCTTGGGTATTTTATTGTAATCTATGATGGTAGTCCAGGAGCAATGACAATTGGTGCCGCGGAAGTACAGGACTTTTCTTTGACGTTGATACTTGCACGCACACATATTTTTTGACGTGACAACTTCTTATAATTCGATAGAGCCGGCTGCACGCACGAAAAAACATGACGCATGCGGCGTTACCTCGCTCTGAGGCGTTCCATTTAAGCCTTGAAGTGCAAGCGAGAGCGCGGAACGAGCGACAAAGAGGTACAATCGGCCTCCGCGTTCGGCAGCGTTCGACATCTGTCTCTCTCCTACTTGAGTGAGCGATGCGTCCGCGTGGACAGCTGCTATACAATAATACATTTACATGTTTTCGTCAAGTATGAAGCGTAATTAAAATTTTCTTTTGAAAAATGCAACCTTCCCATCAGTATTTTCTTATGACGTTGTCACGTTCAACTATCGTCAGTAAATCGACTTTACAGACAACCGATTTTTTTAGGTTAGATACATGGTTGCGTTTTTTTAATTTCATTTGAGTTTTTTTAATTTGATTTTAGTGTTATCGTGTTTATCTTGGGTGTTGTGTTGTGACTCGTGACAGAGGTTTGAAGTTTCGAAATTTAAGCTTTCTTTAAAAATTGTTACTTGATCTTGATACTGGGTTTTTAAGTTTTTTATAATGATGAAATCCATACTTACATTATAAGTGTGAAAGAGTTTGTTTGTTTGTTACTCTTTCATGCCTAAACCACTAACAATAAACCAATTTTAGATAATCTTTTACCAATGGCAAGCTAAATTATCTGCAAGTAACATAGGCTTTTTTCAGCGATAATAGACATATACGCGGGCGGAGCCGCGGGCAAAAGTTAGTAATTTCTATTTTAAACTATATTTGACATTTAAGGTCACACTGCCCTTTAAAGTCAAATTAATATCGTTTTAAGGGCACATGAACTAGTTTAAAAAAGTGCAGATACACGTCTATATTCATATGATCTATAGATCTTTTTCATCGGTAACGTATGCTATTGATGGGCTAAGGTCTCAGGTTCGATTCCAGGGAAGAACCAAATGTTTGTATTATGATCTGCATGTACGTATTTACAAAAAAAAAGTATTTAAATATTATATCAGTCAATCTAGCTTTTATAGTACAAGCCTTGAAACTAGATGGCGTTATGTGTTAGATGTCCAAGAAAAAATATTATTATATTATTTTAATTTTGTGTCCGTATCCGTATCCGACAGATTTATAACCAGAGAGAGAACACGGGGTACAGTTGCCTGTAAATGGAAGCGATACAGGCAACGAGGGACACGGATGCTGCGATTCGCTACTCATTAACCCCTCAAATTCCCCGGTCAACCGTAGAGCTCGGCCAGAAAGAGATAGAGGGAAGTATCTATTATCCATCCCTCTCGTTGCCCGTATTGCATCCGTGTAGGTAATATCTGTACGTTAAGCGTACCTGAGGAGTTGATACGCGAGCATGCAGCTGAAGATGCAGACGAGCACGGCGCTGACGGAGAGCGCGAAGACGCCGCGCAGGCACCAGTACAGCGCGCCGTGCACCACGCCGCACGCCGACACGCCCTCGAACACGCAGCGGACACCTGCGCACGCGCACACCTTTTACTTCCTTTATGTTAGAGGGGGCACAAGCAGGCGGGACACCTGATGGAAACTGACCAACTCAGGAGACACAAACGCGTTGCCGGTCTTTTAGGAAGGAGTACGCTCTTTTCTTTAAGGTTTTAAGGTCGTTTTACTTTCACGTTTATATAACAAACGCAGGCAATTAATCGTGTTAACTCTGTCATCATCATCATCAACATCATCATCATCATCATGTAGACATATTTATATGTCATGAAACTTTAAAAAATAGTATTGCTACAAAAGTTTCATCGCATCAGTTATTAATTGATGCTTAAAAAAGTTGTAATGCGATAATATATAAAAAAATAGATAAGCTTTAAAAAAACTACTATTTAGTTTATTGGCAACACTAAATCTTCTACACAGCTACCATACAAAAAAATATATGAGACCGAATGGTTTTTGATCTGTGCCTTTTTGCCTTTTATATTTACGGTAGGTATGTTAATCATCCATAATATCCTAAAACCTATTAACAACTTACCTTCATCATCACCACTGTGCTGAGCGTCCGGTGGCCTTGAGAAGCAGGTACAAGTGCGGGTGATCTTCGTATACTCGCAGAACTTGAGGGTCTGAAGCCTAGAACCAAATGGATACTGTTTAGCCGAAGAATAATATATGTTATGAGAATTTGTGTAACGGACTGCTATTCCAAAGGTCGCGGGTTCGATTCCCGCTCAAATCACACATTTGTGTGCATGAACATTTAATGTTTGATCTGGTCTGGGTGTTTGTATTAGTGATGTGCCGGATATCCGTATCCGTATCCGTATCCGCGGATATCCAAGGGAGAAGAGAGATCCGTAACCGTATCCGTATCCGTGACTTTTTTGGCGGATCTTTCAATACATATTACATAGATCAAATTCTATATAGGTGATTTTGTATTCACTGTAAAACTCTTAGGTATGTGTTTGTAACAAGGCCAAAAAAAAAGTTGCTGTTTATACAGCAACTTTTTTTTTGGCCAAGGTCAAAGTGAAAAAAAATTGGTCCTCCATTCAAATGACCAATCAAATGTCGTCAGTTTGTATAGAGAAACAATTTTTTTTTCTTATGTTTTCGGTGTTAGTCCAGAAGAAAAGTTGTTGTTTGTTTGTTAGTTGTTGTGTTGTTGTTAATGTTACTAATATGCACTTCAGAGGTTTTCAGTAAATTTAAAATAACCCTGAATAATGGTTATTACTTGCTATGAAAAACTATTAAATTCTGTTCAGATTACTTTTATTTATTAAAACAAATATTTGGCACCTTTGTATTGCAATTATTTATCGTACTATACCAAATCAACTAGGCAGGTCGTAGGTACTGAAAGAGCTATCTTTATAATGAGATCAATCAAACATCTTGGTATTAGCTTATTAAAACAATGAAATATTTAAATATCAACGGCAAAGCGTCAAGTGGCGACAACTATCAAGGTCACGGGCTCCGATTGAGTAGGAAACTTAAGATCCGTATCCGTATCCGTATCCGCGGATCTTGACACCAAATATCCGTATTCGGATCCGTATCCGCGGATATACTTTTTTAACGATCCAGCACATCACTAGTTTGTATGTATAATAAGTATGCATTTACAAAAAAAATATGTAATATGTATTTATATCAATTGTCTAGTACCCATAGTACAAGCTCTGCTTAGTTTGGGACTAGATGGCGTTGTGTGAATGAGGTAGAATATTTGGTAGAATATTCTTCTGGGCTCTGAGGCGTCCAAACTAGGTTGGGTCGACTTTCAGTTTACTAAGACACGACTGAACTTCAATTTTTTAGGTGGAACGACTGCCATCAGAACTTCAAAACCCAAATACTAAGCGATATCGAAGTTCTGTAGATAGACTATTGTCGAACTTTTTTTAGGGCTCCAACTATCCATAACAATTGTGATTTGTGATCCGGAACTAGGCAGAGCCTGTACTATGGTAACCAGACTGCTGATAAGCATACTTATATATTTCTAAATACATACATCATAAATAAATTACACCTAGACACAGAACAAATGACCGTGTTCATCACATAATATTTGTCCTGGGTGAGAATCGAACTCACGACCTCCGGCTTCGCAGTCAGGGCCACGAACTACTATTATTGCTTTAAACTGGACTCCGGTCGAGGCAGCCAATATGTGCAGCTGCATCGGGTTTCAAAGGTCCAAGGTTATAATGTTGTATGCATACTTACTTATTCATATGTATGACAGTGGTGGTAATGGTGACCAGAACACAAGTCAGAGCACACACGAGGCAGCAAGCTCCCACAACCTTGATCTGTAGACAAAACAGCATCTTAATAAAATAATAGTAACGTGTAAATCTGATGGAAAGTGTGGTGACGAATTAAGAATACGGAATGTCACCACCCCTATTCATCCCGTGGGTGTCGTAAGAGCCGACTAAGATAGCAAACTACGCAGGACAACAGCAATGTAAAGAGAAGAACAACTTGAAACAATGGCTATATCAACCCGTCTGGCCATTGTGGTATAGTAGGCCAAAACCCGATTCTAAGGAGGCTTCTAAAGGCTGTTGATGATGATGATGGAAAGTGGAGACCAGCAACTCATTAATCATATTAAAATTTATGGGTCAAATTAGTAGACGGGAAGTCAGATTCGTTTAGGCACATTATGTCCTAGTCGCAGAATTTCCAACTGTCCAATTCTCAGTTGATCCAGTTCACAATTGGTCCAGTTCGCAATTAGTCTAATTCGCAATTGGTCCAGATCGTAGTTAAGCAGCGTGCTCGATTACGTGAGGCGTTTTTGACGACTTGGTGAGATACAGCTCGAAGTAAAAATGCATATGCAAGTAGAATTGGTTCAACTACTACCACACAGGCAGTTCGGTTCTGGCACTTGCCTGATGTACTTATATTGATTATTCTGCGAACTCCGCTGGATATTTTGCGATTTGGACTGAATCGTAGTCAACACTGGGGATGTTCTACAATTCAGTCGCAGAATGCCGCAGACCCCCCAGAAACGAGGTGGAGAGGGTTCTGTCCAGCCGGCCCATTTATGCCGAAGTATGGCTTTCCCACGTTATATTTTATAATATATTATGGAACGCGAAAGTCAAATAATGTTACATGATACTTGCACTTTCGAGTATTCAGAAAATATTGATGATGATGACCTTAAATAGTACCTTTCACTCCGTGAGTAGAGTTGTGTTTTTATGTTAGTAGGGGCACACGAGCAGGCGGGTCACCTGATGGAAAATGACCATCGCCGGCAATGAACGTCTGCAACTCAGGAGTCCCAAACGCATTACCGGCCTTTTAGGAAGGAGTACGCTCTTTTCTTGGAGGTTTGAAAGTCGTATCGATCCAGAAATACCGCAGACGATAACCTGTTCCACAGGTCGCTTGTGCAAGGCAAAAATTGTTTTGAAAAGCGCACATTAGTGGAGCGCCAACTATCATGGTGATGGGTATGAAACTAATGTTAACGATAAATTTACATGCATATTTCAGGTATGCCCGACTAGTTTCAGACCTTTCAGTTTCATGAAGGAGTGAAACTTTTATTTCACTTTCATTAATAATAATAATAATAATATTCTACCACATATACACAACGCCATCTAGTCCCAAACTAAGCAGAGCTTGTACTATGGGTACTAGACAACTGATATAAATACATATATACTTTTTTTTTTGTAAATACATACATATTATACATAGAAACACCCAGACCAAATCAAACATCAAATGTTCATGCACACAAATGTTTGACTTGAGCGGACTTAATTTTTATTACTTAGAAACGGGCGGTTGTAGATCGCAGGCATATCATAGATTTTGTATGGGTTTGATTTTTGTTAAATTTATTTGCTTACTATTTGACCAAACAGAGATTGTTGCTTTTATGTGTGTTGATGTGACTTTAGTCTACATAAAAGACGATTTCTAACATTTTTTTTTTGGAACGAAGTTCCTTATCGCGCGTTGTGAAGGGGGGCTAGACAGAAAAAAATCTCACGAAAAGTTGTAACGACACTTTTTATTTTGAATTGTCACTTGTCAGTCATTCAGCGCCATCTATTGAATAGATAGGAAATCATTACTTTTCATCTCAGTAAAATTAAAATTTATGTTCTTAGGTTGAGCAAAAAATATTGTATTCGACATCATTTCTCAAAGAGATTTTACCAATGTATAAATTGTTTTAATTAGAAACCAACTGAAAAATATGTAGGTAATAGCCGCTTTCATAGATGGCATTGTAATTAAAATCGTGTCGAATCAGTTTTACTCGATCGTCACAACTTCGTTCCTATCGGGTGTCCCACGACACCACACGGCTTTATTATTAAATAAAGAGAGTTGGAGTTTACAATACAATGATAACGGTTTTTATCTAATTCCTTTATATTCATGCATCATGCTGTAATAAATGTGGAAGCGAACATACTTTTCTTACCATATAGCTGTATCTATTGCGACGTCGTGCTAAGCTCATGATGCAGACCCCGGTCAGGACCAACTGTAATAGCACAATGAGGTTTTAAACGTGACCACAAAAATGTTATATTTAAAAACTATTACCAACTTTTCTTTTATTCTATCTGACCCGGCAAACGTTGTTTTGCCATAAACATTATTTCTAGAAAATATTTAAAAAAAAAATTAGGGTTCGGTCACCCTTATCATTTAGGGGTATAAAAAATAGACGTTGGCCAATTCGAAGACCTACCCGATATGCACACAAAATTTCATAAAAATCGGTCCAGCCGTTTCGGAAGAGTTTAGTAACAAACACCGCGACACGAGAATTTTATATATTAGAGATAGATTACACCAGCTATTGGTGCTAATTCTGTTGTTCGAAAACTAACTAAACTAAAAATCACTAAAAATTAGTTTAGTCCAGTCAACTACTATGTTTTCAGAATACGAATCGTTTTTTAACAGGACTAAACAATTTTTTAGTGATTTTTAGTTTAGTTTAGAGAGTTTATGAACAACAGAATTAGCACCATTGTATTATTTATTTGATGTTTCTAACTTTGAAAATTACGAACTTCCATACACTCCTTTTCTTTATGGAAAAGGGGGCAGACGAACAGCCGTTCATCCCTTATTTTATCCCTTTAAGGGTTAAAATTCCAAAACTCGTTTCTTAGTGGGAGCCTAAAATACAAAAAGCATCATCTATAAAAATTTCAAGTTTGTAGCCCCAGTGGTTTAGGCTCTGCGTTGATGAACTAATTTTATGAATCATTAGCTGAGACCCGCGGTGTTACCCGCGTTTGTTGTTATAACCGCGGGGCGAATCTAGTTTAAAAAAAGTAGCCTAAGTTACTCCTTATGTCATCAGCTATCTGCCAGTGAAAGTCCCGTCGAAATCGGTCCAGCCGTTCCAGAGATTACCCGGAACAAACAGACAGACAGACAGACAAAAATTGTAAAAAATGTTATTTTGGCATATGTACCGTGTAAACATACATATGCATTTAGTAAAAAGCGGTTATTTTAATATTACAAACAGACACTCCAATTTTTTTTATGTGTATAGATTATTAAAAAACCATTTCTGAACCTCCTCATCAAATTATTAACACTTACCATAGCAGCCGGCACAGCGGCGGGCACAGTCTCTAAGTGCTGTGGTGACGCCGTATAAGCTCGCAGCAGAATATGCTGAGCTGCAAGAAGGCCACCAAGAGCGGCCGCCAACGCCCCACAACCCACACACCACCACGCGTATTTGCGGCGGCGACAGGTACCATCATTACCGTTGCAGCCAACTGATGCTGGAAACAGACAATATTGATTAAAATTAAAACATACCACTTCGATTTTAGGCGTAGCATAATTGGTGAAAGTACATCGCGAAACGAATTTATGAAAATTTGTCCCTGTGGTGACAGATTTATAATACGGGGTGTACCACCCCTATTCATTCCGTGCGTGTCGTAAGAGCCGACTAAAGGAGCAGAGAAGAAAAACTTGACACAAATCCTATACAAGTATATCCAAAGTCAGCAGTGGAAAATTAAAGTCTGTCGATGATGATGATATTCGAAATAGGGCCTCCGCCTCTCAGTCCGTGAGCACGTGACCATGGCTAGTGCCACCTGCTTGAAATGTCACGCAATTTAAAAATATGTAATACCTATTACGTGACCGCGTTAATTCCCGTTAGCACAATCTTATTACTGCTACAAATGCGAACTATGTGACGTGATACCTGTTCCTGCCCTTCCGAAGAGGTTCGAGCCTACTGGCTTCCTACCGGTATTTGATCAATAGTCTTTTCTAGTCCACTGCTGGACATAGGCCTCTCCTTAAAGGAGGTTTTGGCTTACTATACCACGCTGGCCAGACGGGCTGGTATAGGGTTCGTTTCAAATTTTCCTTCTCTTTGCAGTGTTGTATTTAACAAAGAGTCTTGAACTCGTTAAACCTTCGAGTTAGCTCAATTATTTTGTTCTGGATCCGTAGTCTTGACGAGCTTTGCTTAAGACTAAATTAGTTTTAATTATATTACCAAATAAAATAGGTAAAAGCACCTAGCTTCAAAACTAACTCCAATCTTTGACGACCGGATAGCGTACTGGTTTGTGTAACGGACTGCTATTCCAAAGGTCGTGGGTTCGATTCCCGCACAAGTCAAACATTTGTGTATGAGCATATTTAATGTTTGATTTGGTCTGGGTGTTTCTATGTATAATATGTATGTATTTACAAAAAAAAAAAGTATATATGTATTTATATCAGTTGTCTAGTACCCATAGTACAAGCTCTGCTTAGTTTGGGACTAGATGGCGTTGTGTGAATGTAGTAAAATATATTAAAAAAAAAAAAAAATCTTTAACCGAATTCAAAAATACCTAACTATGATTGGTTTAATTAAAATAAATGTTTTTATTTGACTCTACATCGGTTATTTAGTAGTTTTTTTTTTATAATATCATGCAGATATGTTGTACTGTTATAATTTAATGGGCCTGTTGGTTTAGATGTTAGTAACTCTAACTGCTAAGCCGGAGGTCGTGGGCTCTTTTCCCACCCAGGACCAATAATTGTGTGATGAGCACGATCATTTGTTCTGTGTCTGGGTGTTATGTATCTAAAATATATGTGTATTTAGCATTTTATAATTATGTTTATCAGCAGTCTGATTCCAATACGCTCTGCCGAATTTGGGATTAGACTGCCGTGTGCGAGATGTGTAAAACAAAAACGTGAGAACTCTTAATTTATAGGAGACATAGACACCATTGTATTCCGTTTTATGAAATAGTTTCAAATATCACCAGTTTTACTATCGTACCAGATTATATAGATATATTTATATTCACTTTAGAGTATAGCAAAACATCTTATTGTTATGCTATACTCTATAGTGTTCATACTAAATTTTTTTATGGTATAAGGGGGCAAACGAGCAGATGGGTCACCTGATGGTAAGCAACTACCGACGCCCATGGACACCTGCAAGTCAAAAGTCACAAGTGCGTGAGTCCCTCCCGCTCGAGTCAGGGGATGGATTTGGGCGGAGGGATTTGGGCTCCGGTAACCTCACTCACTCAGTGAAGGGCAACGAAAGGATTGCTTAACACCTGTTTTCTGTGAGGCCGTGGTATAAATCCGGGCGAGCAAGCCCATTTGCGCCGAAGCATAGCTCTCCCACGGTAATAAACAAAACAAAAATTGTGTGGAATTTGTGTGAAAACTTCCATTACACTGCTGTGTTTATATAATTTCTTAAGTGGTTCATTGTGTGTTGGTTATATGGCGCTTTGAATGATAGGTCAGGTATGTTTTTAAGCATTTCCGTGATACTTTGCAGGTATAAACCTACAAGTACAGTTCTCCGTCGACTAGTATTTGAATAGGCTGCCGCTCTCCGGGACGCACGTGTAGGATTGAAAATTCGGAACACCCTCGACACCAGCATCAACCCGAGGTTTGACTGTAGCATCAGGTCAAGGTTACCATATCATGGCAATACCACTATAGTAACAGTACACCAAATTTCACAAGAATCGGAGTTCTGTAAGTCAGTGAGATTCCTTCATCAACTAAGACATAAGCAGATGGTTTTCACAAATTATAGTTAAGACACAAAGAAAATTAGAATCAAACTCTGTCCATGCATTTAGGAGCTACGACGCCACAGACAGACACAGAGACACGTCAAACATATAACACCTGTTTTTGCACTGCAATATTTTCATGACTTTTTAATTTTAATTCAAGACTTAACAATCGAATTAATGTCTGGCAAATTTATTTTAAGTTTTTCTTATCTTTAAATAACATAATATTAAAATTACAGACATTATAAAATACTTTGAAATTTTATAAAAAAAAAATAACAAAAATCGCGTATGGCACATAGTAAGCATTGTCAAAAATGTCTGGCAATAAAAAAAGTATGTCAGGTAGACTTATTTAAAAACAAAAAATTAAAAATTACGCCTTCTAAAATGTTTTTAAAATACAGGATTATTACCTGGACAGGTAGGATGCGCACTAATGAACGCAACCGCTACCGCCAGCCAGATAGCCCAGATTCTAGCCGAAAGTGCAAGAAGGACGACATATCACAAAATCAGCTGTCCTAAAATTCTTACTTTCCAAACGTTGCTAGCTCCCGTACTAATAGGTTGACTAAATGGAGGACAAAAAACAAGTACCATTGCAAGTTTTAAAGTAACATCAAATAGTAAAAAGTAACAATGTTTTTAATTCAAATTACCGCTAAATTACTGTTTCGAATTATTATTTATTTCGTTATCAAAAACAACGGAACCTGACAGACTAATTAAATGACAGATCTTGACAAACGTGCTGTCAAAACATTTTGACAGTTCCTCATTAGATGGCAACATTAAAAAAGTGAAGTTTGCCCGTCAGTCATTCTTGAAAAAAGAACTCGGGGATTCTGTCGTCGTCCGTTTGGTTAGCACGTGCGTCTAGAATTCTTGTGTGATTTTGTGACTATTGGGTCTTTTTTTTTTGTTATTTTGTGCTGTCCTATTGGTTACGGTGTGTTGTTTGTAACTAAACATTACCGGTAAGTGAACATGAACGGAAATAAACCGCCCGACCCTCCCGATATTCCATATCCAGTAACCCCTCCTTTCACCCCTACTCCTTCCCTACCCGATCAACCCTCGACCCCTTCCAACCCCTTGGAACAGTTTGCCAATGTGATCTGCAATGCAGCGGTCCAAGATAATTGCCCTCTCGCTACAAACTCACGTAAACGGCATGTGAACGATGAGGTAAGTACCCCCCCTATTAAACGTAGCCCTAATCAAGTAAGAAGCCCGCTAGGTCGTGACAAGTACACGACAAATGATACTGGTCCCTACATTGTGCATGTTTCCCGCATGGAGACCCAATTGGGTTCTGGCACAACTCTCCACCCTGTCTCTTTTGGTGTTTTCCTTTTTAAAAATAAAATTAACAATGTGGTCAGAGATGGAGTCAAAAAAGTAGGTCGTAATAGGGTGTCAGTACAGTTTGCATCCCCTCAGGATGCCAACTCATTTTTATTAAACCCCTTACTAAATTCACATAAATACACTGCCATCATCCCCACCTTTAACATCACTAGAATGGGTGTAGTATCAGGCATCCCCACCGACATGGATGATGAGGATGTCATTAAATTTGTTACAGTGCCGCAGGGTTGTGGCCTAATAATTAAAGTCAGGCGCCTTAATAGAAAATGTTTTACTGAAGGTCTATTGGAGTGGAAACCTACGGAAACCTGTGTCCTCACTTTTGATGGCCAGGTTCTGCCTAAAAGAGTATACTGTTGTTACAACTCGCTTCCTGTTCAACAATATATTTACCCAACCGTACAGTGTAGGAAATGCTGCAGGTTTGGCCATGTGGAGTCCATCTGCAGGTCCAAACCAAGATGCAGCAAGTGTGGCCACGAACATCCTGGTAATGGTTGTGAGGTATCAGAAAGAGAGGCCTTTTGTGTGCTGTGCTCCGGTGACCACTTTGCTTATAGCAAGGCTTGCCCGGAGTATGGTAGACAGAGAGCTATTAAGACCATGATGGCGGAAAGGAACATATCCTACATGGAAGCAAGCAAGGTTGTTCCCTCTCCAACACGCCGATACGCTGACATCCTAAAAGCTCCACAAATCAACCAACTCCCTCAACCTTCTCAATCCACTCAGCCTACCCAATCCCTCCAGCACACACAGTCCTACAAAAAAACTGTGGTTCGCCAACCTAAACCTCGATCCCCACTCTCACATTCCTACGATAAAGTCGCACACCAATCCATTACTCAATCTCCCCAACCTTCACAACCTAATGGTTGTGCTATGAATAACTCATCCCTTGAATCCTCAACTATTGATCTTCTGTTACAACTCTTAACCTCCCTATTATCCCCCAATTCATCTCTATCCCAGTCTATTATACCGTCCAACGTTGCTGTCCCACTTATCAATATTTTAACAAATTTCAAAAATGGTGTCCCACAAAGTATTCCTACAATGGAATGTGATGAGTGTATTCCATAAAAAACACGACCTCATATTCCTGTTGAACAAATTCAAGCCTCTGGCTATTTCTCTCGCTGAGACCTGGCTTTTACCAAGTCTCAACTTCCATGTCCCCCATTTCAATATTCTTAGATGTGATAGGCCTGATGGCTATGGAGGTGCTGCCCTCCTTATTAATACTAAAATCCCCTTAGTCCCCCTATCCTTGCCCCCATTCCTTGAGGATATCAGCGTGGTTGCAGCTAAGATCTGTAACATATCCGTGCTCT